GACAAAGACACCACAAGAAAAGACAGCAGCAGGGCGATATCTCTGAAACTTGAAGACGCAAAAACACTCTGCAGGGCATTAGCAGACTGAGTTCAACAATGCGTGAAAAGGATCATACACCATGATCGGTGGGATTTATTCCAGGGCTGCAAGGATGGTTCAACACCTGCAAGTCAATCCACGCGACACACCATGTTAACAAAATAAAGGATGAAGATCAGATTGCGTGACGCTTTAAGTATCTGAATAATCTGACTGTATGCTTTCATATTCTAAATTTCCTTGTGGGAACTTGTTAGTACTACTTTCTGTTGATTTTTTAGGCCAGCAATACAAAGAGGTAAAGTAAAGAATGAAGTGACAGTTTTAAAAAGAGATTCTCCCAGTATTTAATTAATAACTGAACCTTTTGTGACTGTGTCTTATGGGTGAATCTCAGGGTATAATGCTCTGAGTCCCTCGCAATTCTCTCTCCTGTGGTTTCCAAAACCCTCTGGAAGGTCACTGTCACCTTCTCTGGCTAAATCAAAAGACTTTACCTGGGGGCCTCATTCCTTACATCCTCTCCAGAAAAAACAAAACAAAACCACGGGGTCCTATGATGACAGTTTTCCTCTGGGTTTTACCAGTGGTTGGTTGGTTTCTTTAATGGAAGCTTTTCTTTTTCTGTCTCCTGTTTGTTAAGCATGGGCACCAGCTGATGGGTGACTCTGGGCTCCACGTGCATTTCTCTGTAAACACGGTGCTCTCGGGTGCTCCTTCTTTCTCCTGCCTCTGCAAGGGAAGGAAAAGGCTCTGCACTTCCTCCTACCTTCACCTGACCTTGCATCTCTTCCCTGCCTCCATCTTACCAAGTGACATGGAGCATGTACTAAGCTAAGCAGTCTCTCCTCACAATGAGTCCTCCACTTAGATTCCCCTGTTCCTCAGTCTAAGAATGGGCTGAGCACACATAATTAAAAAGCAAATAACCATTGCATTTAATTATATCAATACTTCATCCATCAAAAATGCCATTTAGAGTATACAAGATGTTCTCATATGAATTCCCCTGTTTGATTTTTATGAAAACTCTTTCAGAAGGAGATGATGGATATTGTTTCTGTTTTATAAATGAGAACATCACGGCCCAGGAATAAGGACTCGGGTTTAATTAGTACTAGTTCAACTCCCAGCTTGGTGCCTCATTCAGTCCTCTCTGCAGTATCCATAACTCCAGAAAGAATGAAGAGATGGAGCCAAGGCAAAAACAACACCCAGCTGTGGATGGGACTGGTGATGAAAGTAAAGTCCAATTCTATAAGAACAATATTGCATAGGAACCTGGAGCGTTAGGTCTATAAATCGAGGCAAATTGGAAGTGGGCAAACAGGAAAATGCAAGAGTGAACACTGACATTTTAGGAATCAGTGAGCTAAGATGGACAGGAATGAGTGAATTTAACTCAGATGACCATGGTATCTACTACTGTGGGCAAGAATCCCTTAGAAGAAATGGAGTAGCCCTCATAGACAACAGAGTCTGAAATGCAGTGCTTGGGGGCAATCTCAAAAAGACACAATGATCTCGTTTGTTTCTAGGGCAAACTATTCAATATCACAGTAATCCAAGTCTATGCCCCAACCACTAATGCCGAAGAAGCTGAAATTGAATGGTTCTGTGATGACCTACAAGGCCTTCTAGAACTAACATCCAAAAAAAGATGTCCTTTTCATTACAGGGGACTGGAAGGCAAAAGTAGGAAGTCAAGAGCTATCTGGAGTAACAGGTAAGTTTGGCCTTGGAGTACAGAATGAAGCAGGGCAAAGGCTAATAGAGTTTGCCAAGAGAACCCACTGGTCATAACAAACACCCTCTTCCAACAACACAAGAGAAGACTCTACACATGACTTCACCAGATGGTCAATACCGAAATCAGATTGATTATATTCTTTGCAGCTGAAGATGGAGAAGTTCTATATAGTCAGCAAAAACAAGACTGGGAGCTGATTGTGGCTCAGATCATGAGCTCCTTATTATAAAATAAAGACTTAAATTGAAAAAAGTAGGGAAAAACCACTAGACCATTGAGGTGTAATCCAAATCAAATCCCTTAAGATTATATAGTGGAAGTGACAAATGGATTCAAGGGATTAGATCTGATAGAGTGCCTGAAAAACTATGGATGAAGTTTCATGACATTGTACAGAAGTCAGTGATCAAGACCACCCCCAAGAAAAAGAAATGCAAAAAGGCAAAATGGTTGCCTGAGGAGACCTTATAAATAGCTGAGAAAAGAAGAAAAGCAAAAGGTAAAGCAAAAAAGGAAAGATATACCCACATGAATGCAGAGTTCCAAAGAATAGCAAGGAAAGATAAGAAAGCCTTCCTCAGTGAGCAATGCAAAGACACAGAGGAAAACAATAGAATGGGAAAGACTAGAGATCTCTTCAAGAAAATTAGACATACCAACGAAATATTTGATGCAAAGATGGGCACAATAAAGGACAGAAATGGTATGAACTTAACAGAAGCAGAAGATATCAAGAAGAGGTGGCAAGAAAATACAGAAAAACAATACAAAAAAGATCTTAATGACCCAGATAACCATGATGGTGTGATCACTCACCTAGAGCCAGATATTCTGGAATGAGAAGTAAAGTGGGCCATAGGAAGCATCACTACGAACAAAGCTAGTGGAGATGATGGAATTCCAGCTGAGCTATCTCATGTCCCAAAAGATGATGCTGTGAAAGTGCTGCACTCAATATGCTAGCAAATTTGGAAAACTCAGCAGTGGCCACTGGACTGGAAAAGGTCAGTTTTCATTCCAATCCCAAAGAAATGCAGTACCAAAAAATGCTCAAACTACTGCACAATTGCATTCATCTCACATCCTAGCAAAGTAATGCTCAAAATTCTCCAACTGAGGCTTCAACAGTATGTTAACCAAGAACTTGCAGATGTTCAAACTGGATTTAGAAAAGATAGAGGCACCAGAGATCAAAGAGTCAACATCTGTTGGATCATAGAAAAAGTAAAAGAATTAGTTCCAGAAAAACATCTACCTCTGCTTTATTGACTATGTTAAAGTCTTTGACTGTGTGGATCACAACAAATTGGAAAATTCTTAGAGGTGGAAATACCAAACCACCTTACCTGCCTCCTGAGAAATCTATATGCAGGTCAAGAACAACAGTTAGAACCAGACATGGAACAACAGACTGGCGGAAAATTGGGAAAGGAGTACATCAAGGCTGTATATTGTCACCCTGCTTATTTAACTTATATGCAGAGTACATCATGTGAAATGCCAGACTGGATGAAGCACAAGCTGGAATCAAGATTGCTGGGAGAAATATCAATAACCTCAGATATGCAGATGACACCATCCTTATGGCAGAAAGTGAAGAGGAACTAAATTAGAGCCTCTTGATAAAAAGTGAAATAGGAGAGTGAAAAAGCTGGCTTAAAACTCAACATTCAGAAAACTAAGATCATGGCACCTGGTCTCATCACTTCACAGCAAATAGATGAGGAAACAATGGAAACAGTGAGAGACTTTATTTTCTTGGGCTCTAAAATCACTGCAGATGGTGACTTCAGCCATGAAATTAAAAGACGCTTGCTCCTTGGAAGGAAAGCTATGACAATCTAGACAGCATACTAAAAAGCAGAGACATTATTTTGCCAACGAAGGTCCATCTAGTCAAAAAGATCGTTTTTCCAGTAGTCATGTATGGATATGAGAGTTAGACCACAGGGAAGGCTGAGCATCGAAGAATTGATACTTTTGAACTGTGGTGTTGGAGAAGACTCTTGAGAGTCCCTTGGACTGAAAGGAGATCCAACCAGTCCATCCTAAAGGAAATCAGTCCTGAATATTCACTGGAAGGACTGATGCTGAAGCTGAAACTCCAATACTTTGGGCACCTGATGTGAAGAGCTGACTCACTGAGAAAGATCCTGATGCTGGGAAAGATTGAAGGCAGGAGAAGGGGATGACAGAGGATGAGATGGTTGGATGGCATTACTGACTCTATCGACTTGAGTTTGAACAAGCTCCAGGAGTTGGTGATGGACAGGGAGGCCTGGTGTGCTGCAGTCCTTGGGTCTCAAAGAGTTGGACACAACTGAGTGACTGAACTGAACTGAACTGTGGTATAGGTGCAAGAGCTCAAGCAAAGTTTCCCTCTCGTCCAGCGTGTCCTCTTCCCCAGATCGCATTCTGATACTCTGTGTCTAGAGAAAGACCCAAGGTGATGGATTGTGTCACAATGCCCTCAGACTTATGGTGACTCAGCGGTGTGGTCCATCACATCAGCAAGACTGTGAAGGAAAGATGATTTCCTGCCACCTCACTCATTGCCCGACAAGAGGCTCTCAAGGCGGAACATCCGTGTTTTCAGAGCATGTCACTCTTTCCAGTGCACTGTGTATGCATAGCTACTTGGCTGGGTCACTGTCTCCTGATAACTTTTACTGAAATAGAAATTCTTCTTAGCTTTTGTTCACTGATGCTCACGACTTCTCCAAATTTATCTTCCAAGAATGGTTGAGCTTCTGACTTACAGCATTCTGAGCTGAACTTGATGTCCTGCTGTCAAACCAGATAAAGATGCAAGAGTTATTTAGTTCAATCCTCCTCAACTGTTCTGTCTGCTGTCATTTTCTTGCTTTGTCATTTTACTTTCCCCTTTTTTATTTAAAACAGGAGTCCATGTGAAAGCAAAGTGCATGGAGGTTGATAGGATGCTCTCACCATCTCAGGGTCCCAGGCACCTCGCTTAACTTAGGGGACCTCAGTTTCTTATCTCTGTAGTGAAATCAGATAAAAGAGGTGCATTTCATGCAACACAGATTCCAAGGAAATGGTAGCATTGTTATAATATTGCAATTCTCATCAGTGAGTTGGCGATAACTGGACTTCATGCTTCCAACCATCTAGGACCCAGAACTTGCCTGATCTTATTTGATGTAAGGAATAAGAAGCATCACCATTTCCAAGTGATTTTCTGTATTAAATCCTGTAATCCTGCCACAGCCCTGTGAGAAGATACTGACCTGATACTCGCTCTGTGGGAGGGGTGGGTTGGAGAGTCTGGTACCTGCCCAGGGTCAGGTAAAGAGTCTTCCAAGTCGTAACTGACCTGTCAGTAAAGAGTCTGAAGGTACAATCCCAGAAACTGACTGACTTTGGCTTAACTGAGGAAAAAGAATGAATGAGTGGTGCATGAATAAATGAAGACTTTGGGGCCGTTGTGGGCTGACTCACAGGACGGAAGGGCTGCATCTCCAGGCCCAGGAGTCTGCAGCACAGGACTCTCTCACAAGAAGGCTCCCCATGTGCCTCCATCTCTGGATGGGCGGTCCCGCTGTGAACCCCCAGGAGGGTCATCTCTCTTCTGTGTCCAGCAGGCCAGTGAGAGCAGGCAGCCAGGGCTGTGTGTTCACTGCGGCCGGAGGAGGCGAACTGGAGAAGGGTGTCGGGGACCTGGTGCTGAGATGCTGAGATGCCGAGTCTCCATGGTCCTAAGGCAAGAACGCACATTTCAATTTCTTCTGATGGATAGCTCCTCTGCACTGGACGTGTCCTTTCTTAAGTGTGTTAGCCACTCAGTCATGACCGCTTCTCTGTGACCCCATGAACTGCAGCCTGCCAAGCTCCTCTGTCGATAGGATTCTCCAGGCAAGAATACTAGAGTGGGTATCCAGGCCCTCCTCCGGGGGATCTTCCCAACTCAGGGATCGAACCTGGGCCTCCTGCATTGCAGGTGGATTCTTTACCACTGAGCCACCAGGGAAGCCCTTTCTTAACCAGAATTGAGAGTCTTTTGACCATACAAGAGTGATTACTATGCAGCGTTTAGAGCCAGCTCTCAGGGGACCATCAACGAGAGAAGCATGGTGTGTCTCTGGCCTCCACTCACCCGTGGGAGGGGAGTGATGCTGGGCTGAGACCAGACAGTAGGAGCTACGGGCTCAGGCTTCCTGCTGCCCCAGAGTGGTGGGGGCTCACAGGCAGGGCATCCTGTAAGAACTCCCCAAACGTTGGGTCCTCTTGGCCCACTCCACTGTCCGAAGCGCCACCAGGAAATCTTACTTGTTTAGTGCAAGGCCCAGCCCCTTGCCAATAAATACAGCCCCGTGGAGGATTATCAGCCTCCAGCCCTCCTGATCAGGAAGCACAGTCCTGTCCCCAGCCGCCAGTGGAGCTGGGCTGGGTGAGGTCTGGGTGCATACTAGCCGCCATGGTCCATGGTCAATGGAGAAAACATGGACAACACAGCAAAGACTTCATGAAGAGACACACACTGTCCTTGGCAAGCATCCCATCTGGTTGTGATGCTGTCCTCTTTTCTTCTGCATCCAGGACCTCCCTTTCACGAAAGTCAAACGGCTTCCCTGGTGGCTCAGAAGGTGAAGCATCGCCTGCAATGCAGAGGACCCACGTTTGTTCCCTGGTTAGGAAGACCCCTTGGAGAAGGGAATGGCAACCCACTCCAGTATGCTTGCCTGGAGAATCCCGTGGATGGAGGAACCTGGTGGGCTACAGTTCATATAATCGCAAAAAGTTGGACATAACTGAGCAACTAGTATCTTGACACTTCACTTTAAAGCTAGCAACTCAATGCCAGATTTCATTCTACTGTGTTTTCATGTGATTTTATTAGTTCCTTTAATACCAACGTTCAGCAATGCCTGCTGGAGGACATACCGAGGACAGATAAGACACGACTGACGAGGAGCACCTGGGTGGCCAGCAAGGATAGAGGGGCTCCCTCACTGCGGGGAGGCTGAACAGTGGGGAGAGAGGCCTGTCCAGCTGACAGCGTGATGCAGAATTCTCAGGATGAAAGCATAAGGTCCATGTTCATTTTGCTGCATCCGACAACCCAAACTTCACACGGCTGTTCTTTCAGAGGGTGCTTCTGACCCTTTCACACCGAATATCTTGGCAAGTGTGTTTCCCCCGCACGCTGTCACTGAAGACGGACCCTGGCAAAAGTGTGTGCTCCAAGCCGGCCACTGCCCCGCTAGGGATGCTAGTGAGCCCAGCAGCGGAGCTTAAGATCTGCTCCAAAAGAAGACGTGCTTCCGTCACCGGGCTACTCTCAGGGAAGGTCAGCCTGCTCCCACCCCTGCCCGTCCAGGCCTGGACGAAGGAGGCAGCCACCCTGATCGGCACTGTGGCCCTCGGTCCACCCAGGGCTAGACGTGAAAGTTTCAGAGAGGCACCTCAGTCCAGACACGTGGCCGGCCAGCCCTGCCTTCCCTTGGGCGTGCAGGAACCCCCACGAGCCCGGAGCATGGGCCGCGTGCGTGTGACAGTGTGCCTGTGCAGCAGGTCCACGAGCTGGCGCACTCCTGGAGACATGCGGCGTGGACGGACAGTCAAGGTCACTCTCCGGGCAGGTGTCCTTCCAGCCACACTCAGCCGGGGCCCACCCTGCAGCCTGCTGCAGCCTGGCACAGACGTGGGCGGCCACATGGCGGCCACAGCTGGTGCAGGACGGGGCTGCGAGCCCGTGGCGGGGGAGGCCGGCTGCCCACCCCGTCTCAGGAATGTTGGCCGCCTCCTCTGGCTGTGGATCCAGCCTGGGAGGGGCCTGGGTGTCAGGAGCTGACTAACCGCCTCATGCATTTTGCATATGCTCCTTTTGGCTGACGCGGCCACCACTGGCCCCAGGTTTGACCTGGTTAGAAGTGGAAGTCGGATGTGCCAAGGTGGCTTACACACAGAAGCAGTTTTTTGCAGCTAGGACTAATTTGACTGTCAGTTCAGTTTTGAAACCGAATGCATTTGTTGAAATCTGTGTACACTAGTTTCCAGTTTTATCAGCTAGATAAATCTTCACACTGACTTTATCTGACTTCTTTCTCTTTACCTTAGTTTGTCTTGTAATAAGGTAGACATTTGGTAAAAGTTGCAATAGTCATCAGCAACACCCAGCAAAATCTGACTTTTTTAGCCCTGAGCTTATATATTTTTCAATTAGGAATTGAAATGAAGGGATAATGTCTCAATAATTTTATCAATATGAAAACAACCACCTGTTTTTAAAAAATGATACAAGGACAGTGGATATCAGGCAAAGGACAGAAATCCAAGTTCCGCAGCCTCGAGCAAGGAGACATGTGCTGGCTTACGGGACTAGCAGGATGCGGGGGCTGCGGGAGGGCTGCAGTCAGCAGCTCTGACAGCTCAGAGCTTCCTCTCCATCCCACGCTCCTCGGCCTTGGCAGTCTTCTCAGAGCCCTGTCCCCTCTGCCCCAGGGTTTACACATTCGTGTGCATCTTTTGGCTGATGTTTGGATTATTTCCAGGGCTAGGAGAAGGAAATGGCAACCCACTCCAGTGTTCTTGCCTGGAGAATCCCAGGGACAGTGGAGCCTGGTGGGCTGCTATCTATGGGGTCGCACAGAGTCGGACACAACTGAATCGACTTAGCAGCAGCAGCAGCAGTAGCTGGCCATCACAGGTAAAGCGACTGTGAACGATTCAGGCTCAAAATCTCTGTGACCTGGTGTATACTTCCTTAATGCTTGAGGAAATACCCAGGACTTGAAGGTCTGGGTCATGTAAATGGGGTGCGTGTGCCTGACTTAAGAAACCGACAAGCTTTCTCCCACAGCGTCTGCACCCCTTCCCGTTCCCCAGCAGTCCCGAGACCCCCAGCCCCCTATAGCCTCCTCCACACGCACCGTGGGGAGTGTTCCTTTAATTTTATGCGTGCTGATAGGTTTGGCGTGGTTTCTCGCTGTGTTTCATGTTATGGGAAGCCCATTTTTAATGGACATTCATAGCTACATGAATATGGGTTATTTCTGAAAATACAGTATATCAAACATTACTGAAATCACCCAAATATCTACTGTCTTCCCCTTTATCACAGAATTTGGTAATCCTACTGGAAGGAACTACGAAGTCTGTGGGGGTTTGTGTTTTCTGGAATTTCTTTGCTCACTTTACTTTAGATAATGTTTTAAATGTTGTGCTGTCTCCCATTGTTCCTTGGGAAGAATTCTGTTTCAATAAAATTGGTAAGAAATAAAATATTGCAACATTTGTAGTTAAACTTCTGTTCAAATTTTGCACTTAAGCTGTATTAAAATCTGCAAAGGTGATCTCCTATAACCTGAATGTCGTATTTCAGGGGATTGCCAGGAATTGAATGTGTGTTTGGAGAGAACCCAGACCAGTCCAGATATTTAGAGTTCTAGGCCGGAGGCCTCCGGAAAATCAAGATGGTCCGTGGCGAACAGCACCCTGGCCGCCGAGGCCCCGCCTCCCCCACCCAAATCAGCACCGCTGTGCACACCCCCTGCCTGCCCCCCGCCCTCTGAACACAGAACGCATCTCCTCTCTCCACCCCCAGTGACTCCTAACCTTCCAGAAGCCTCAGGCCCACGGGCGTTCCGGCCAGCCTCCGTGCTCCGTGGCGTCACTGCCGCTCCCCCTGTCCAGCTGAAGCACGTTTTCCACTGGCACACTTACAGGCGTCCGCGGGGCTTCCTTCTGCCCGCTTCCTGAGCGCGCACCGCTGTTCGTGCTGCTGGCACGGGTGTGGGGACTCTGGGCCAGGAGGAGGGGCGCTCACCGCCGAGCAGGTGGAGGCCAACGGGGCCCCCGCCGTCCCTCCCCTCCGCCCGCCCCGCGCCCCTCTCTTCCCGCCAGCTCCAGCCTGGCCCGATCCCATCTCTCTCTCTCCTGCATCGGCCGGCTGGGAGCTGGGATCCTCCGAGGGTCATTGGCCTTTAAAACAACAAGGACAACACCCCCAGCAAGTCAGAGGAGAGTAGGACACTAAAAATGCACTTTGAGGAGAGAAGCTGTGAGCAGGTTGATTTGGGTCTTGCAACAACCCAGTTACCTGAACAACCATGAGCTATGCAGAGCATTTTGTGGATGCGATAACTGAGGCACACAGAGTTTCGATTATTTTGAAAAAGACGACTCAGCCGGTGATGGTGACTCCAAGGCTCGAGTGCAGCCAAACTCTGTGCCCTGTTCCCTTTGGCCCCAACCCCGTGGCTTTACTGACCTCCCAAATCTGCAAAACCTATCAGGTGACAAGCTCACTGCAGACCTGAACCCACACCTCGTCTCTGTCCAGCACCACCACCCGGGACGGGCAGCACAATTCCCAAAGTGCGAGCTGTCGGCCCTCAGAGGAACCCTTGTGTCTATGTAGATGCATACTCCCCTAAACCGCTCAGACCTTGAGTCAGCATCCTGCTGATGGCCCAGAAATCTGCGTTTCTGGGAAACACACCAGATGACATTTGTCTCTCCTAGAATTTGAAAACTCCTGAGGTAGAGGTTACCAGGAAGCGGTGGTGATTGTTTTTAGCTGGGGGCCGAGTTCCCCTGGCCCCGGCTCACTTGCCGGACTGACAGGTGCAGAACTGACTCTGCGGGATGAGAGGGGGGCTCCTCCTTCACCTCCACGCTGGGCGGGAGCCCCGACCAGAGGCGGTGCTTCCATTTGACACCTGTGCTTTCCCGGTGGTGCAGCTGGTCCTCAGGCCCCGTGAACACGGTGATCAGAGAGCCCCCGTCCTGGGGTGAGGGTCTCTGGGGGTGTGATGGGGGATTAGTAACCATCACAGGGACCACAGGCATTTCTTGGGGCTGTGTCAACAAACTAGGACACACGGTCCGTCCTGCTAAACCTGTGTTTCAAAAATGTAGGTTTGCTCCGACACCACTGAGAATCAGAGAATGATCTGAGCCATGGTGGGGATTGCAAGTTCACCTGTGTGTGATTCCAGCCTCAGGGGAGCCAAGGTGAAGCCAGGCGGGACGGGGCCAGGCGGACACACGCAGCCCTGGGCATCTGTGGCCTGGCTGTCTCGCCCCCGCCGGGCATCACAGGCGCCCCCCAACTGCCCTCCCTCTGTGCCCCCAGGTGCCAGCCCCCTGACAGCCTCTCCTCAGGCTCTGCGGGTCTTCTTCTGGGCAAAGTACCCATCACAGGACTCTGCTTCCGGCCTTGGCTGGGTGTGCAGCTGTGACCTACTTTCATGAAGTTCCTTGTTTTTTTAATGCGCCACTGACGAGGTTTTGAATGTCGTGTCTCCACTCCCACCAGCTCGGGGAGCTTTGCTGCATGGTTTTGCATGCCGTGGTATGTTCTGGGACGAACACCTTTCTCCGCACCAGACTCCCTTTGGGCAGACCCACCTCCCTCCCTCGAGGCCCGGAGCAGAGATGGTGGGAAAGAAGGCGGGCGGGAAGCAGGTCTCCAAGTCTGCAGACCTGCCCTGGGAGAACCTGGTGTCTCCTCGGGGCCCGGGTTACCCTGGGAGAGCAGGACGGCACAGTGATTTATGCCTGTCTTCTTTCCAGGAGACAGTCGTGGTGCTAGATACCTAGGCCATGTGGAGAGCAGGCCGGGGCCAGTGGGGCTGACATGGAATTAACAATGTGTGCCCGGCCAGCGCCCCGGACACATGCCACATCCCGCCTCGGCAAGACGGCCTGGGGCCGGGTCTGCCCGGGAGCAGGGGCCGTGCATCTCACGTGCAGAATCTGCAAAACCGGAGCCCCGCCGGATCCCGCAGGTTCAGGCACAGCCCTGTCCTGAGCCGGCCCCGGGCCGTCTCTGAGCTGCAGATGGACGGTGCCTGCCGGTCGTCACCGGGAGGCAGCCCGCCGGAGAGGACAGTGGCGGGGCTGCCACAGGAGCGCAGCGAGGAGGCCCCTGGAGGGCTGCGGGGAGCGGGCCCTGGGCGTCGGCTGCAAGAAGGGAAGGCAGCTCTGCTCGTCCCGGCAGTCGGCGCTCTCCTTTCCCACTCAAAGCCAGGCCCGTTAGCGCCCCCGTCTCGCTCCCCCTCTCCGTGTCTCTCTCTGTCTCTCCATCTCTCTGTCTCTCTGTCTCTGTCTCTCCCTCCCCCACCTCCCCTCTCTCTCTCACACACGTTGCTCTGGCTATATTTCTAAGATCTTGTATAATATTCTCAAGAAAAATGTCACTCCACTTACCCAGGGGGATTTCTAGTGAATGTCTGCTGACTCCCCTGCGGGGGGAGCGCCCATCGCCGGCGGGAGAAGCGAGGAAGGCTCAGGGCAGAGAAAGCAGGGAGAAGGGTTCCCGGGCCAGGGGTGACGCGGCTGCTGACACATCTCCCGGGAAGACAGGTGCGGTACCAGCACCTCATGCAGCTTTTAGAGGAGCCCATCAGGCAGGTATGGCCGTCTGCGATCTACAGTTGAGGAGATTTAAGCCTGTGGGAGTTAAATAACTCATCTGCCCGGGGTCACGAGTGCTGAGTGGGGAGCAGGTCAGACCAGCCCCAAAGCCCTCCCGGGTCCCCTCCGTCTGCCGCCTCGGGGACGGGGCCTGGGGACTCAGCAGGCTGTGACAATGACGTTGTGACCGGGGGAGGTCAGGGGACACTCGGGGCCCCCACTGAGGGAAGCCTGGCTTCCTGAGGGGTGCCCGGGGCTCACCCTGCCCCCCTTCAGTCTGAGCGTCTGTGAAGGCTCCACCGCGCAGTGAGCCGTCCCAGCAGTCGAAGCCATCTCCGTGGGTGACACCAGCTTTTTCGGAAGCCTGATAGAACCCTTCAGGGCTAGCGCTCACTGTGAACAGAAAACAGGCCCAAGCCAGCCCCTCACGGGGTGCAAGGACGCAGCACCAAGCCTTCCCAGGCTCACCCAGCCCCGCCTGAGGTCCTCGCATTGCACGTTGACGCCTTGGTGTCGAGGGACTGTCTACTGCAAGGATGCTTCCTGGTCACGATGCGTGGAGGACAGGTGACCTCTGTAAAGTCTACAGGCTCATAGCTCAGGGTCCAGAGGGGGTTTCTCTCCAAGGCAGGGTGTGACCTCCCGGCCACAGAGGGGTGAGTGTGCCCCTCTCCAGGACCAAATGAGCGGGCGCCTGTGGGTGGCTGAGAACAGCCCTGGGCCTTTGGGACTTCCTGGCCGAGCCCACGATGGCCAGGGCCCAAGAGGCCCACAGGGAGTGGTGGTGCCTGCTTTTGTTCTAAACACCCTTGAGTGGGGGGTCTGGGCTTCTACGCACAGTTGTGCAGGCTGTGCACTGCACAAACCAGACACGGAAACTCCAGATGTGCACAGCCGGGATTCTGGTGCACGTAGGTCAGGCACTGGGCCAGTGATGCACCAGCCTCAGGAGTCCTGGGAGGAAGCCTCATGAGCTGGGTGTGGGGCTGGATGCAGGGTGGGGGCCCCCAGGAGCCTGGGAGCAGAGAGGGCAGGTTTGGAAGTGAGTTGGTGGGAGGGGTGTTGACAGAGGGGTGCCTGGGCCTGAGGCCAAGGATGAGGGTAGGGGATGGAAGGTGGGTGGGGGAGCAGGGCGCAGGGCTCTCCTGAGAAGATTTGTCCTCTTCACCTTGGGCCAGGCTGGTCCTTGAGACAGAGAGAACCGTCCTCGGGGGCAGGGTGGATGTCCCATGCCCGACCTCTCCCACGGGCTCTGAAGGCCCCAGGCCCAGTGTCACCCAGCCCTACCAGGCCCCGGGCCCCCCGAGCTACCACACAGGCCCCCTGAGCAGGAGGACGGCCCTGGCCCACCTGGGCCCGGCCTCCCTCACCGCCTCTCTGCCATCAGCTGTAGCAGGAGCCCCTGCCAGGGACAGGACGGCCGTCGCTTTCTCTCCAAAGGAATAGCACCATTGCCTCCCGGAGCAAATGAAAATGAGGTGCAGAGCCACTTCCAGGTCAGCCGAGCACAGGATCACGGGTTCTCTGCTCTCCCAACCCCGGAGACATTCTCAGCTGGGGCGTTCTTCCCTGGGAGTTGCTCTGAGGATGAAATGCAGGGATTTGTGTGCATGCTTCTAGAGCAGTTTACAGTATAACTCAGGGCAGATTGCAGAGGAAGGTGCGGATCTCAGTAAAGGCAACCTTCAAACAACAAACAGGAAAATCACACAGCCTCTGCACCAGCCAACATCAGGTTAGTTGTTAATAGTTAACAGTTGTTAATAGTTGCCTGCTTCTCCAACTTCAAAATGCACAGGCGTGTCCTGGAGATCTTGTTAAAATGCAAACTCTGAGCCAGCAGATGACCGACCAGCCTGCAGATCCTGCACCTCTAGTGTTTTCTCGGCCAGGACTCCACAGACCGCCCAAGCACACAGGCCAGGCCTGTGCTGTCTCCCACGGTAGCTGAGAACGGCTTCGAGCTTGTGTAGGTCTGTGAAGGAAGACAGAAAGGACGGAGCGGTAGAGATGCCTGAGCCCCGAGGCCTGAGCCGGGGACCGTCTGGCCTCGAGACAGGACACTCAGCGCGTCCCTAAGAGTCTCCGACGTGGAGTCGGGAGGCCTGGTGTCTCGGCCTGGATGGGATCTGGCTGCGACCACTGACTCTCCTAACGACGGCCTCTAGATCACCTGTCAGAAACTGAACATCCTGACGGGACACCTACCCTGAAACAGCTCCTACCCCTGGCCCTGGAGGGGTGAGTGTTTGCAGATTCCCATCAGAGTTGCCATGCTTCTCACCAGGAGACTCAGACAACCCCAGGCCTGTTGTCTGGGGGAGCCCCCAACTCTTCCTGGTCCCCGAGACGTCACCTGGATCTGCATCTCCGGAACTGCAAGCCTCAGACCCCAAACATGCTCCCCTCGCCTGCAGGCTCCTCTCTGCCTTTTGACCAACAGCCTCCATGGAGAAAGCTCCCTGCACCTGCCTTAGACGATGTGACGTTTGCTGCCGTCTGACCATGCTGAGAGCTGCAGGCTTTCAGGATCGGCTCCGAGCTACCTGCCCCGTCCTCCCCCAAACCAGGGACCCATCACGGCGGGAGGAAGGAGACTAAGTGATGGGCTGATCGTGCAGCACCAAGTGTGGTCTCAGCTCGCTCCCCAGCCTCCCGGCCAGCAGGGCCCCTGCTCCTGCATCACCCCTGCCCCGCTGCAGCCTCCACACGTCACGGGACGGTCTTCACATGGCCCTGCAGGTGTGTGCCTTCCTGTCCTCTCTCCCGACAAGACCACGCGCTCTTCGGAGGAAAGAAGGGCTTGTTGATCCCGAGGGTCTGTCCCACAGTAGGCACTCCACAAACTACTGAGAGCAAGTGAGAGAGGTGATGGCCCTGGGAGCAGCTTCTCGGGACTAACACGCACGGGTGCCTGGCGTGTTATCTGTAAGCATAGTGTGATGTGTTGACATGTAACTGTGTGATTACCCATGCTAGTGGTTATAATCCATACGTAAATGGTGTGCATCACATTTACTGTCTCTATCATACATACATGTTGTGCGTATGAAGTGAGGTGTTAATTGCTCAGTCATGTCAAAGTCTCTCCAGCCCTATGGACTGCAGTCCACCAGGCTCAGATACAATGTGTATTTGTGTAGATACAAACACACTCATTTTAGATGCCGCCAAGGTTATGCTCGAAATCCCTCAAGCTAGGCTTCAGCACTGTGTGAACCAAGAGGTACAAGCTGGGTTTAGAAAAGGCAGAGGAACCAGAAATCAAATTGCCAACATTCGTTGAATTGAAACAGCAAGAGAATTCCAGAAAAACATCTACCTCTGCTTCATGACTACAATAAAGCCTTTGACTGTGTGGATCACAACACTCTGTGGAAAAGTCTTAAAGAGATGAGCATTCCAGATCACCTTACCTGTCTTCTGAGAAACCTGTATGCAGGTCAAGAAGCAATAGTTAGAACTGGACATGGAACAATGGACTTGTTCAAAACTGGGAAAGGAGCATGATAAGACTGTATATCATCACCCTGCTTATTTAACTTATATGCAGAGTACATCATGTGAAATTCAGGCTGGATGAATCACCAGGTGGAATCAAGCTTGCCGGGAGAAATATCAGTAACCTCAGATATGCAGTTGATACCACTTTAATGGCAGAAATCTAAAAGGAACTAAAGAACTTCTTGATGAGGGTGAGAGAGGAGAGTGAAAAATTTGCCTTAAAACTCGTAAAGAGAGCTGAGCACCGAAGAATTGATGCTTTTGAACTGTGGTGCTGGAGAAGACTCTTGAGAGTCCCTTGGACTGCAAGGAGATCCAACCAGTCCATCCTAAAGGAGATCAGTCCTGGGTGTTCATTGGAAGGACTAATGTTGAAGCTGAAACTCCAGTACTTTGGCCACCTCATGTGAAGAGCTGACTCATTTGAAAAGACCCTGATGTTGGGAAAGATTGAGGGCAGGAGGAGAAGGGGACGACAGAGGATGAAATGGTTGGATGGCATCACTGACTTGATGGACATGAGTTTGAGTAAGCTCTAGGAGTTGGTAATAGACAGGGAGGCCTGGCGTGCTGCAGTTCATGGGGTCATAAAGAGTCGGACATGACTGAGCAACTGAACTGAACTGAAATATATATATATATGAATACCCATGTATATATACACAATACCTGTGTATATATATATATACACACACGTATATATATATATGTATATATATGTATACATATGTGTATATAATGTACACATGTACATGTGTGTATATGTGTATACTTATGTATATATAATGCACATGTGTATATATGTGTATATATATGTGTGTATACCTATGTATATACAATGCACATATGTGCATGTGTGTATATGTGTATACTTATGTATATATAATGCACATGTGTATATATGTGTATATGTGTGTACCTATGTATATATAATGCACATATGTACATGTGTGTATATGTGTATACTTATGCATATATAATGCACATATGTATATGTGTGTGTATATGTATACCTATGTATATATAATGCATGTATGTATACCTATGCAACTCATGCAGATATGTATACATCTTACGTGTATCACATATATATGCATTATATATACACACATATGTTACCATGTATATTTTTAGATGCGAGGGGCCCAGGAGGGCGTCTTGGGGCCTGGGCCCCCCCAGCCCGAGGCCTGCAGCCCTTAGGCCCAGGGCCCTCAGCCAGGGTGGCCTGGACCTGCAACCTCAGCTGGCACACAGCCCAGAGCCCTGCCCGCTGTTCACACCTGAGGACCCAGCTCCTTCCCACTCTGAAGATTTTTAAAAGCTTATAATGAGTTTAGGAAACTTTGTACTTGGAAATCAAAAACAACAACAACAACAACCCAATTAAAAATTGGGCAGAAGAACTGACTAGACATTTTTCCAAAGAGGTCATGCACTGACCACCAAGAACCCTCACCTTTCCCTTCCCACCCTTCCCCCTCCTTGAGGCTGAAGCCCCAACCATCAGGCAGTTTGGAGCCCCCAGCACGGCAGAGACCACGTTCCTGGTTTGGGTGCCGAAGGGGCCCTACGTGGTCGCCCTCCCAGGAGATGGTGCCTTTAACCGATTTTCTTGCTGGGGAGGAACCTGATCTGGGGGCGTCTCCAGGAAGGCCATGCTGCCCCAGCCAGGGGCTGAGGCCTGAAGGAAAGACAGAGAGGCTTGTTCAGGGAGGCGGTGGGAGGGAGGGACACGTGCGGAGTGGCATCTTCAGAGACCCAGCTCCTCCGCGGGGCCAGGCAGGGTCAGGTTCCCAGGCTGGGTCTCACGGGAGCCGCCCCCCACAGCCGTGTCCCCCCACAGCCCAGAGTTCACACCGTTGTGCATCCATGTCCCTTCTCCAAGGCCACAGCTCCAGCTCAGTCACCACGTTGGCGACGTGACAGGGACGAGCCCCATTCCAAGTCTCCCACCCTCTCCTGGGGGTGCGACCTTGGGCTGAAAGAATGCACCAGCCCTGGTCCCTGCAGGTAGCCTTGAGCCACATGGGCACCTCGCCTGGGGGTGGGGGCAGCATGAGGATTAACCTGAATAATGTACCTGCTTCAAGCAGCATAATGCCTACAACATGGGTAGCCCTAGAAATAGTCGCTATTACTGTTATTGTTTGGGAGGAAAAGGGAGCAGGTGGCCTTGAGAGCTCATGAGGGTCCCCGTCGTGATCTCCCTCCGTCTTCCCGAGACCCAGTGACGGCAAGCACGTGGGCATGGTGCTTCCTTACCAGCCCCTCCAGCTGCGGACGCTGGGCTATGGGGGCGACTGCCGAGGCCCAGGAAGCCCCACCTTGGGCACCAGGGCCGAATCTCTGGCAGGGTCGCCAGCCTGGCCTGCAGAGCCTGTCTGTGGGGTCCCTGAGGCTCCCGTGGGGATGCGTGTTCCAGGTCCTGTCCCTTCCTGGTCCCTGCAGGGCACTCTTGCCCGACAGAAGCCGGTTCTCGTCCGGACACTCGAGGCCCCAGCCAGCAGGGCCTCACTTGCACACAGACGGCCGTCCCCTCATGGGCAGGGTGAGGGACGGATGGGGCAGACCCGGGGGGCTGCAGCCACAGCAGAGCTGCCCCCCCACAGCGGGCGGAGCTGCAGCAGGCGCGGGAGGGCAACCTGTCTGGGCGCTGGGCGTGGGGCAGCGCTGCTGGCCGTGGAGCTGGCCGCAGCCCCTCCTCACCCTTCCCTGCCCCCATCCTCCCCCCGGCCCCTGCGCAAAGGCGGCATCTGCCAACGTCCAGTCCAGGGACAGCGCCGGGGTGGGAGGGGCCGGGGAGGCGGGGGGGTTGGGGAGGCTGGAGGCCACCTTGCCGTTGGGGTCCATCAGTGCCACTGAGGCGTCGCCGGCAGCCTCGGGGCACGGGGCCGGCCCGTGAGCACTGCTCCGCTGTAGGGGCGGAACTGTGGCCGGCCCCGGTCAGGAGCAGCACCTCGTGGCTGCCCGTCAGGCTGCAGGCCACTCGGGCCTCTCTCCCTGAGGCTCCGTCTCACTCCCTCAGGAAAGAAGGGGCGGGCATCACAGCTTCTAAATGGAGATTTTTAAAAAGCTTATAATGAGTTTAGGGAAGTTTGTACTTGGAAACCAAAAAATATAAACAACCCAATTAAAAATTGGGCAGAGGACCTGAACAGACATTTTTCCAAAGAAGTGGTGCAGTGACCAACAAGAACATAAAAGATGCTCACCATCACTAATCATTAGGAAAAAGCAAATCAAAACCACAATGAGACTTCACACTGCACCTGTCGGAACAGCTCTCATCAAAAAGACAGCAAATGACAAGTGTTAGGAAGAATGCAGAGAAAAGGGACCCCCTGCACCATGGGTGAGATTGTAAATTGGTGGAGCTACTGTGGAAAGCAGTCTGGAGTCTGCTCACAATATTAAAAGTAGAACTACCATATGATCCAGAAATCCCACCTGTTGATATTTATCTGAAGCAAACAAAACACTAATTCAAAAAGATGCATACGTGCCTCTGCTCATTGCAGCGATACTTACAGTAACCAAGATATAGAAGCGAACTGTGAGCCCATCAGTAGATGGACAGGTAAAGAAGATGTCTGTGCATATATGTGCATGCAGAATATTACTCAACCATGAAAAATGGGCTCTTGCCACTTGTGAGAGCATAGATGGTCCTAGGGTACATGATGCTAAGTGAACTAAGTCAGAGAAAGATCACAAATACCATGTGATTTTACTTATATGTGGGATCTAAAAAAGCAAAACAAACATGCATAGATGCAGCGAACAAAACAGTGTTAGCCTAAGGGAGATGGGAGGAAAGAAAAGGGGAGGAAGATAAGAGGTACAAAATTCCAGTTACAAAATAATGAATCGCAGAGATGAAATGTACAGTGAGGGGAACACTGTCAACAATTGTGTAGTATCTTTGTGCAGTGACAGATCGTAACTAAACTTAATGGTGATCATTTTGAAACGTATAGAAATCCTGAATCCTCACATTGTGTAACAGAAGCTGACATAGCGTAGCAGGTCGATTATACTTCCAGCCAAGCCAACATGCGCGCTCAGTCGTGCCCGACTCTTTGGGACCCCAAGAACTGTAGCCCACCAGGCTCCTCTGTTCGTGGGATTTTTCAGGCAAGACTACTGGAGTGGGTTCTCACCTTCTCCTCCGGGGGATTCTCCTGACACAGAGATCGAACTCACATCTCCGTTGTCTCTTGCACTGCAGGTGGATTCTTACCACTGAGCCATCAGGGAAGCCCCAGTTATACTTCAGAAAAAGACAAATAGAGAAAAAAAAACTCACATAAAAGAGACCAGACATTCGGTTACCAGAAAAAGGTTGGAGGACGGGGGACCTGGATGAAGGTGGTCAAAACTGCAAACTTCCATTTGTAAGAAGAGTAAGTACAAGGGATATAGGCACCCGATTAATAGAATTAACAGCATTGGATGTTGTCTATGAAAGCTATGAGAGAGTAAATTGTAAAATAAAATAATAACTTATTTTTTATACTAAAAAGTAAAATAAAAAATAATTTTCTTTTATTTCTTTAATGCTGTATTTCTATGAAATGAAGGATGTTCACGACACTTATTGTGGTTATCACCTCCTGATTCACGTCACCTCCTGATACAGATAAGTCACGTCACCTGCTGAGGTAGGTAGGTCAATCATCATACTATGCACCTTAAACCAACACAGTGCCGATGTCAACTACATCTCAGTAAAACTGGGAGAAAATAACCAAGTTCTCACAACACATGATAATAAAATTGCTTTACTTTTTAGCTCAGCTGTATTTTTATTCTAATTAATTTTACTGTTTGGAGTCATATTTAGCATAAGCTTATTATAAATCACATTTTCCTGACCTCCCGATTATCACATCACAGAGCACTGCGGGGAGGTGGATATTTTATTCTTGCACAGACAGAGTAGGTAGGAAGTATTGGGCACTGCCAGCATGCAGTTTACAAATAAACGGACCTGGTTCTTGTTTGTTTGAGGCTCAGGGCTTGTCAGAGGAGGGTGTCAGAAAGAGAAGAGGGTGTCAGAAGATGAGATGGCTGGATGGCATCACCGATGCAATGGGTGTGACCTTGGGCAAATGCTAGGAAATGGTGAGGGACAGGAAGGCCCAGCGTGCCGCAGCCCATGGGGTCGCAGAGTCAGACGTGACTGGGTGACTGAAGAGCGCAGGGCTCATCGCCCGTGAGAGCCTGGAATTGACCCGCGAGGAGGAGGGAGCCCGGAGCTGGGGAAGCGAGACCAGGTGGGCTGGGAGGCGTGGGGCCGAGAGCCGGGAGAAGTCAGGACCACAGACCCCCTCGTCCTGGCTCCTGGGAGCCTCCATCCCCAGGGCATAAAGCGGGGGTGCGCCCGCGCAGTGCTCTCCTGGAGCCCATGCAAGCCGGTCAGAAGTGTGGCTCGCGGGCCCACCCAGACCTGCCCACTTGGAGCAGGGCCCCCGAGGTCAGCAGTGTCAGGAGAGAGGGCTGGGGAGAGCCAGCACTCACCAACAGCCATGAGCAGACAGGATGGGCCGAGTCCCTCCCAGGGACAGATCGGTGCCCCGGGCCCATCCAAACACCTCTAAATGCTCTGCCTGCCTCCCAGTCTTCACCGCGCCGAGGGCTTCTCTGCGGGTAAGCGGCTGCAAGGGACGGAGGAGATGCGCCGGAGCTGTCCCCCAGCCCGTGTCCGCGGCTTAGAGACCTCGCGCAACAGACAGGGGCTCTCGAGCCTTGGCTGCCCTGGGTAGCCAGGACCTGACGTGACGGGACAGGACAGCTGGGGAAGGCCCGCCCGACTCAAGCCTCGGTGCTTCGACTGGCTCTGCAGGGTCCTCGGGGAGCCCCATCCTCATGTGCACGGAGCACGCTGAAGCTTTCATGTTACTTCTCGATTTCCTGGCAAAAGCACTGTAGGGAAAATATAATCTGGCTGTTTGGGTTTCCGTAAGATGTGCATGTTTGTATTCTCATGAATCTAGAGTGCAGCATCACAGATTCGATATTCGTTGGGTGAGTTTTGTCTTTCAGCCCTTACGGCGAAAGCGTTATTCCAAATGACCACCTTGCAGAGAGTGACCAAGCACTGGCTTCCTGCAGGATCAGTACCAAGGCAGGCTGTGGTCAGGAAGCCGCCCATCCCGCCGCGGAGAGGTTTCGATTGTCTGTCGTGAGCAGGAAGACAGTTCTTCTAAGTTGAGCTCACAGCATGCTGGTTTTCACCCCTTGGCGAGAGGGCTCCGTCTGCCCTTCGCACGCAGCAAGCACCCCAGGGCCACGGGGAGGAGGACAGGGCCCCCCTCTGCAGCGGGTGAGCAGGAGGTGGAGGACATCAGGGAGTCTGGCGAAGGAGAAGGACAGCCAGGTCGGGGCCAGGTGCTGAAGGTCAGAGCGAGGGGAAGGGCCTCGGGCCTCAGGAAGAAACAGCAGGTGCCGTGCAGGCGAGGGTCCCGCCGCCCTGTCTGGAAGGCTCCTGGGCGCCTTGGCCTGCAGGTCGGGCAGCAGCCCCAGGCCCCAGGCCCTCCCTCTCCGAGGCTGTCTTCCCTGCCAGGCGCCCAGAAGCAACAGGAGGAGGGACCGCCCTGGGAAGCCCCAGCGTGCGAGGGCACCCAGCGGGTCGCTCCCTGTGACACGTCCCGAGGGAGGAGGGGCCGAGTCCAGGGGTTTCCAGGAAGACCAGGGCAGCAGGAGACCTGAGGGGCCCCCGAGAACAGTCTGGGGCTTGGCGGTGGGAGGCACACCCGCTGGGCTGTGGATGCCACCATCACCGAGGCCGGGTCAAGTCCCCGCATCAGGGCGTGGGGCCAGGCTGCACACAACCCCTGGCCCCTCCTGGGCCCCACCCGGGACCCTCCTGGCAGAGCTGGAGACACGGGAAGGGGTGGACGTGGATGCATCAGAAGCTGAAAAGGTCAACAGGACCCCTTCGGGTCAGAGAGGAGCCCTCCTGACACCCCCCCCTCACCTCTGGGCCATCCGTGGTCAGAGACGTGCCAGCTGCTCCCCCCGGGTGGCAGGCGTGGTCCTGGCAGCCGGGAGCCGGCGCCGGGCAGGCATGTGGAGCTGGTCAGGCTCTGCACTCCCCGCACGGAGGCCAGTGGATGGAAAGGACCCGGAGCTGTGGTCATAACGTGACCACCAGCATGTTCCGGGGACCTGCAGATGGGAAACAGCGTTAGGGACCAAATGTGGTCTCTACCCCAAACGTCGGCACCGGGGGTGGGCCAGGGGTGGGGGTGGCTGTCTCGTGGGGAATCAATGGGGGGTGCTGGGTGGGGAGACCCCATCGGGTCAGCTCCGCGTGGGACGGAGCAGCCGCGAGTGCGCTGGAGATGGACGCCCCAGGCCTCTGCTGCTGATAAAGCTCCAGCTGCAGGTGGAACGGAGGGAGGACCCCAGAGGGGCAGAGGGGCTGGGACAGGCAACGGGGCAGAGCCGGGGGCTGGGACAAAGGTGTGGCCAAGCCCCTGGGGCTGAGGTCCAGCAACAGGACGCGGGAGGCAGCCTCTGAGAACGCCCAGGGCCGTGGTGGGCAGCCTCGGCCTCATCCAGGGGGATACCCTTTTCCCAGCACAGATACTGTGGCCTCGGGACCCCCCAACGGCCACACGCTCAGCCGCCCAGCGTCCAGCGTGTGTGGCCAGGGCAGCGGGTGGTGGGGAAGTGGGCCTCCGGGCGCAGGGGCCCCGTCTCACTGGGTGAGGCTGTAACCAATGTCTGCTGCCCGGTTCTTCCCAGGGACCGGGGTGCTCAGTGCAGACAGGACCTGGTGGCAAGAACCTCCCGAGTGGTGATGGCGTGAGCCGCAGGTCAGCAGCCGGAGGGTCGGAGGAGCGCCTCTCGGACCAGTGCAGGAGAGGAGATCCTGAGGGCTTCCTGGGGGCGGTGGGCAGGAAGCGGGGTCTGGGGGGTCCCGGCAGGAGGCTGGAGATTTGGAGAAGGCCTGCCCCCTCCTCCCCAACCACACCTGCAGGTGGCAAACCAGAGCCTGTCCAGGAGGCCCCCGGCCTGACGGAGGCCAGGACAGCAGTCTGAGGCCCCTGGGCCCCTTCCCGGAGTGGCTCCCCGCCCCGCTGTCCCGGCAGGGAGGCCTCTCTGGCCTTTCTCTCCTCCCGTCTCCCATCCCCACCCCCACGTCCTCCCGTCTCCTCCTCGTCGCCGGCTCACCGAGTCCAGGATCCGCCGCTGGACCTCTGACTGCGGAAAGGCCAGCCCGGGGAGCCCCCGTGGGGTGGGGGCAGCTACGGGCACCACCTGCCATCTTACCCCAGATGTCGGGCCTGTCTGGAAGGCTGGGCCCTGCACCTGCAGTGGGAGCCGGCCCCCTGTCCTCCCCTCTCCCGGCCCTGCTCACAGGACGAGGGCAGGCAGGCCAGAGCGTGGACAGCAATTGGAGCAACACCGCCTTCACTGCTTGCTGGGAGCCTGCGGTCTCCTCCCGACTCGCCCTGTCCCCCCTCCAGATGGCAGAACCGCGCAGGCACGGCTTCAGAGGTGGTTAAGGGCAGGTTTCCTATGACGGAGATGGGAGGCCACGGAAGGTGCTTCTGAGTAATTCAATCCCCAGGCTTTCCCCATGAATGGAGAAAACACACACACCCAGCATACACACACACAGACGGGAACACACACACACCACACATCCAAACCAAATACACACACCCATATACACACACATCACACAGATGTGAACACACGTACACACCCCACATCCAAACCAAATACACACACCCATATACACACACATCACACAGACGTGAACACACACACACACCCCACATCCAAACCAAATACACACACCCATATACACACACATCACACAGACGTGAACACACGTACACACCCCACACATCCAAACCAAATACACACACCCATATACACACACATCACACAGATGTGAACACACACACACACCACACACTCAAACCAAATACACACCCATATACACACACATCACACAGACGTGAACACACACACACACCACACATCCAAACCAAATACACACACCCATATACACACACATCACACAGATGTGAACATACAGACGTGAACACACATACACACCACACATCCAAACCAAACACACACACCCATATACACACACATCACATAGATGTGAACACACGTACACACCCCACATCCAAACCAAATACACACACCCATATACACACACATCACACAGATGTGAACACGCACACACACCACACACTCAAACCAAATACACACCCATATACACACACATCACACAGACGTGAACACACACACACACCACACATCCAAACCAAATACACACACCCATATACACACACATCACACAGATGTGAACATACAGACGTGAACACACATACACACCACACATCCAAACCAAACACACACACCCATATACACACACATCACATAGATGTGAACACACGTACACACCCCACATCCAAACCAAATACACACACCCATATACACACACATCACACAGATGTGAACACACGTACACACCCCACATCCAAACCAAATACACACACCCATATACACACACATCACACAGACGTGAACACACGTACACACCCCACACATCCAAACCAAATACACACACCCATATACACACACATCACACAGATGTGAACACACACACACACAACACATCCAAACCAAATACACACACCCATATACACACACATCACACAGACGTGAACACACGTACACACCCCACATCCAAACCAAATACACACACCCATATACACACACATCACACAGACGTGAACACACACACACACCCCACATCCAAACCAAATACACACACCCATATATACACACATCACACAGACGTGAACACACGTACACACCACACATCCAAACCAAATACACACACCCATATACACACACATCACACAGATGTGAACACACACACACACCACACATCCAAACCAAATACACACACCCATATACACGCACATCACACAGAGGTGAACACATGTACACACCCCACACATCCAAACCAAATACACACACCCACATACACACACATCACACAGATGTGAACACACACACCACACACTCAAACCAAATACACACCCATATACACACACATCACACAGATGTGAACACACGTACACACCACACATCCAAACCAAATACACACCTGTATACACACACATCACACAGATGTGAACACACACACACACCACACACTCAAACCAAATACACACCCATATACACACACATCACACAGACGTGAACACACACACACCACACATCCAAACCAAATACACACACCCATATACACACACATCACACAGATGTGAACATACAGACGTGAACACACATACACACCACACATCCAAACCAAACACACACACCCATATACACACACATCACATAGATGTGAACACACAAAGACGTGAACACACACACACACACCACACATCCACACCAAATACACACACGCACCACATAGATATAAACATGCACACACTCCCCAAAGATACACACACCACATGGGTACACACACGCACCCTGCTATATAAAGTTCATTTAAAAATATATGTATAGAAATGTTTTCTAACGTTTCTAATACTGAACATTCCTATCAAATCCTAGGCACTGGAACACGCTGTACACCAGGAACGCCACTCCAGCATGTGTCCCACAGACAAGTTAGAATAACCATACAGGTGATTTTTCAGGCCACCCTCTCGTCGGCCCCGCTGAAGCCCGTGTCTTTGGTGAGTTTGGTCGTTCCGTGATCCTGTGGAGACCAGGTCCAGCTGGAGGGTCAGGCCAGCTCCGAGCCAAGAGGGGCCGGCCAGCAGCAGTGTCCACACGCGAGCGCATCCCCGAATGGCTGCTGTCAGCGTCCACGTGCCCACGTCCCCAGGGGGAGCTCCAGCTGTCTCCAGCATCCCTGGCCTCTCACCAGGGTCAGCAGGGGGTCTGACCCGGGCGTCCTTCAAATTCCTGCTTCCACCCTGGGTCCTAGAGCAGGTGAGAGTTTATGTTCACCCTTCAAGAGTGGAGTTGCTATTTGCCCCAGCCCCCGGGACTCCTGAAAGGAAGACCTGCTGGCCTTCAAAACTAAACACCTGGGGGCCCCCCTCCCAGCAAAGGACCCCTGGGCTGGGGGGCCAGGCAGGACTCAGAACGTCGCTCCTCAGGGAGAACCCCCGCTGCCGTGACCGCCCTCCCGTCTGTGGGTTACTCACCCCAGCACGGCTGGACCTGACTGTGCCCTGTCTCCATCTTGTAGCTCTTTCTTTATAACTTTAGTTCTAGGGGATCTTTACCGCTTGTTTTTCAGTCTCTCTCATCAGCAGTCGATCTGAAATAGTCGTAATTTTCATGTGTCCGTGGGAGGAAGCGAGCTCAGGGTCTTCCTACTCTGCCACCTGGGCCATCTCTGGGTCTTCCATGAGGGCACTAATCCTCCTGACTGCACGACCGCCCAGAGACGCCACCTCCTAACACCGTCACACTGGGGACAGACAGCAGACACAGCCCTGGGTACAGAGGTCTCTACACCAGCGCCAACTGGCATTCCTCCCGGGGAAGCCCCGCTACCCCACAGGTACCCCTGTGGACGGCTCTCTGGAAGCACCCCCTCCCCTGACAGCTCGGTCAGAGGGCTGTGCGGGGCCTGCACTGCCTGTTCAGTCCTTAGGAAAGAACGGGCGGGCGGGACTCGGGAGTGGCAGGCGGTGGCTCTCATGATGCGGCGTGAGCAGTGGCCCTGCTCAGGGGCTGTCTTTCTCTGCCTCTTCTAAACCTGTGCCCCGCGGTCTGGAGGAGCCCCTCCCTGGGAAAGTCAGAGCAGACGGCTGTGCTCAGAGCTCCCAGCTCCCCAGGCTGCTGTCTGTTCATCTACCTGAGTCCCCGCAGCTCTGAGGCTCACGAGGGTTCACGGTGTGGATTTCACCTTTGGGTACCCAGGTCAGAGCTCCGAGCTACATAGAACTCAATCACTTCTTCTTGAATAAACGAACAAATAAAATAAAGATCTAGAGATGAAAGAGATAACCGACCGCTGTGTTTATACCCCAGTGAGCTCCCTTCCCCTGTAGAAAACACTCCCCAGATAAACTAAGGATGGAAGATCTAACAGAAGAGGTGAGAGGGGAGGGGAAGGCCGAGGAGAGAAAACAAGGGAATGGGGCGTTGTTGCCGCTAGACAGACTTGGGACTGACCGGGAAGGACGTCCCTATGCTGAAGTTGCTTTTAAGAAGACAATTAAAAATAAATTCTTAAATAAAAACAAGTCACAACTATATTTGAGTCACTTTTTTTCCTGAAAAATGGAGTGCTCTTCCCCTAAAGCTCAAGAGAGTGAAACTGAAATATTGAGCTCTGTACAGAAAAAAGAAATTCTCTCTCTCTCTCTCTCACACACATGTGTCTGACTTCTCCCTCTAGTCATCATAGAATAAAATACTTACATAATATTTATATAAAATACAAAAGACTTTATAATAATATAAAATACTTACATCTAGCAAATGCATCCAGATCTGCTCCCAGAGTAAAATTAATTGGTTATCAGTTCAGTTCAGTTGCTCAGTCGTGTCTGACTCTTTGCGACCCCATGAACCTCAGCACACCAGGCCTCCCTGGCCATCACCAACTCCCAAAGTTTACCCAAACTCATGTCCATTGAGTCAGTGATACCATCCAACCATCTCATCCTCTTTCGTCCCCTTCTCCTCCTGTCTTCAATCTTTCCCAACATCAGGGTCTTTTCAAATGAGTCTGCTCTTCGCATGAGGTGGCCAAAATATTGGAGTTTCAGCTTCAACATCAGTCCTTCCAATAAACACCCAGGACCAATTTCCCTTAGGATGGACTGGTTGGATCACCTTGCAGTCCAAGGGACTCTCAAGAGTCTTCTCCAACACCACAGTTCAAAAGCATCGATTCTTCAGTGCTCAGCTTTCTTTATATTCCAACTCTCACATCCATACATGACCACTGGAAAAACCATAGCCTTGACTAGACAGACCTTTGTTGACAAAGTAATGTCTCTGCTTTTTAATATGCTGTCTAGGTTGGTCATAACTTTCCTTCCAAGGAGTAAGTGTCTTTTAATTTCATGGCTGCAGTCACCATCTGCAGTGATTTTGGAGCCCAGAAAAATAAAGTCAGCCACTGTTTCCACTGTTTCCCCATCTATTTGCCATGAAGTGATGGGACCAGATGCCATGGTCTTAGTTTTCTGAATGTTGAGCTTTAAGGCAACTTTTTCACTCTCCTCTTCCACTTTCATCAAGAGGCTCTTTAGTTCTTCTTCACTTTCTGCCATAAGGGAGGTGCCATCTGCATATCTGAGGTGATTGATATTTCTCCTGGCAATCTTGATTCCAGCTTGTGCTTCTTTCAGCCCAGTGTTTCTCATGATGTAGTCTGCATATAAGTTAAATAAGCAGGGTGACAATATACAGCCTTGACGTACTTCTTTTCCTATTTGGAACCAGTCTGTTGTTCCATGTCCAGTTCTAAATCGGTTATAAATCTGTGCAAAATTACCCAAATAGAAGATACCCAGGAATGGTGCCTACTGGGTCCCAACCCGTCACCAGCAAAGTCAGAAGTGATGGGGATTGGAGCTCTGTTTTACCTTCTGCTCTGGGTGCACTGGGAGGAAAAACGCTAGGGGACGTGAGAAGCTGAGGATCCCTACATTGATTCACTCACATCACAGCCCATTTTGTCTTTTCCCATAAACTGGACAAGACAGGAGAAGGAGATCGTGAGAAAAGACACACACACTTGAGCTGAACATACTCGGAAAAGGTGCTTGAATCATCCGTAGCCTAGAATCATGAATACTCTTAACTCTAATTGGAAGTTCCGAGAAATGGGAGGAAAAAAATGGAGGTTTGTGAAGACAGGCACCGCAGAGAGGGCTACACTGTTTTAGCGGAAGTGGTCGTCTTCATGGCATGTTAATCCACTCGCCTCCTGCACAACTTCACGCCCTGCAGAGCGCTGAAATATCACCATTGTCTGCAGGAGGCAGCGCACAGCCTCACCGGGAGATGCCTAATCGGTGTCGGCAAACAGCCCTTCGGCTCTCCAGAGAGGCTGGCGCAGCCGGCAGCTCAGGGTCCAAAGCTGCGCTGTAAGCGGGCTCTGAGCCTCTGCTTTTGCCTTCACAGCTTTCATTTCGTCTTCCCTGGAACTTGCCCATGCATCCTGCGTTCCGGGGTGTTTCCCCGAGATCATCTGAGAGCTTCTTCATGTTCTTTTCTAGTGCCAGATTCAAAGCCTAGTTTCCGACATCCAGAGGCGCTGCTTTAACGCCCGAGGTGGAAGCTGGAAGCACAGGTACCTAAGTCAGCGTCACCCCCAAAGCTGGGTCAGGGCACAGGCAGACACAGCTGCTGCCAAAGCTGGGTCAGGGCACACGGGCAGACACAGCTGCTGCTCTTGCAAAATGCGCCGAGAGGAAATCAGGAAGTAACCAGGTTTTAAACCAGCAGTCCTCAGAGTGTCATATGTACAGGCATTAAGAATTTGTCTTTTAAAACGAGTTCTTTTTTAAGTTAATTTTCTAAACACTAAAATATTTCCCTTTAAAGAGTTAAGAAAATCTCAGGAGCTGGGGTTGAAGGGGTTTCTCCACATGATTATAAAGACATGAACCAAACACACTCATATTGATACATGGCTATGCACACAAACTCATGCATGTGTGTGAATTCATATACAGATACATGCACACTTATACACGTGTATGCACACAAACACGTGATTGTGATTGGGGTCATTCCACTACCAGACATCCAGCAATCCCACGTCGCTCACCTCGCCCTGCCCAGCCCTCAGCTCCATCAGCCATGCCACCGGTCCCCTCCCCACCCACCCGCCCGAGAGGCGTGGAGGGGCTGCCCGGAGCCCCCACGTCAGCATCACCCTGGCCACGTCACAGTTTTTATATCTGACAGACCACACCTCAGGTCCCTCTTATTTTATCAGCTTTCAAAATATCCTCAACTATTTATTTGAGCACTAGAAACATAAACATCTAACATATTTGATCAAAATTACATCTCAATATAAAATTATTAAAAACTAATGCAGTTATACTATTAACATCATATTTAGTGTATACTGTATGTATATATTAAATATAATGTGTATTAAATATATACATTTATGTGTATTTAATATGTTAAATATGCATGCTTGCTAAGTCACTTCAGTCGTGTCTGCCTCTCTGTGACCCCGTGGACCGTAGCCTGCCAGGCTCCTCTGTCCATGGGACTCTCCAGGCAAGGATACTGGAGTGGGTTGCCATGCCCTCCCCAGGTGATCTCCCAACCCAGGAATCAAACTCACGTCTCTTACATCTCCTGCATTGGCAGGCGTGTTCTTTACCATTAGTGCCACCTGGGAAGCCCATATTAATTATATATAATACTAAATTATAACAAGATATTCAGGAAAGCTAACCTTTCAAAATTCCTTTCAACTTAAGTAACTGAGAAATTTCAAAGTGAAAAGGAAACAACCCGCCCACAGGAACACTTCCCGCCAGGTGGGGCCCACCGTGGCGAGAACAACCCTGGGTCCCAGCGAGGGCAAACAGAGCAATCTCCGGGGTCTCACTGCCTCAGCCTGGGCAGTGTCCACCAGACCAGACTGACTTCTGCTGGGCGCACTGGACCTTCACCATGAAGCCTTGACCGTTTTGTCTGATCAAACCACAAGCATGTTGCCTTCATTTGTAATGTCCTGGTGTGTTTTGGAAGCATTCACACCTAATATCATTTTGCTAGAAAGAGGACAGGAAGAAAGGGGAAGAGGTTGCCAGGGCTTGCAAGGTGCGTCAGGCTGTGAAGCCCTTGAGTGTCCTCGAGGTCGGCTCCTGTCGTGAACCAGCAGTGGAGGCAGCGCAGGGCTGGTGCTCCACCCACCGCGGGGAATCTCGCAAAAGTGGGGGGCACGAGCCCCTCGAGGAGGGAGAGAGCAGCCGTTGTTTGGATTCTGCACACAGCGCGTCGCCTCTGCCCAAGGTGACCGGGAGGCGGGGTGAAGGCAGGATTGCCTGCCGGCTACCCCGGGCATCCTGATGTGGGGCAGGGTCGGGCCCAGGTGGGGCTGACCCTGTCCCCCGCCCCCTCCCCACCCCATGAGAGAGAAGTGTGCCTTCAAGGAGGAGTCCCCCAGGGAGGAAGCTTGGAACGTTCCTCGAGGCAAACTTGGAAACAGAATGAAACCACGCCTGGGAGTAGCAGGGATGAGCCCGCAGGAGCTGGAAGCACCCTCCTCTCTGCAGGACTCAGCGGGCCATGGGGTCAGGCTGAATGCAACGCTGCTCGAATGCTCTAGAAGCCACGGTCTCCCGGGGAGACGCATGCAGTCAGCCCACGAGAAGGAGGCGCGAGCCGACCCGGGTCTGCACGTGCAGCCATTCACACAGCCTCACTCCCAGACTGTCGGGCTGAGCTGTTTCAGCAGCCATCTGCGGACGACGCTTCTGAATTACTTGGCGTCTTTGTTCTTCATGCTCTCATTTCAGCTGAGTAAAACCAGGCACGTGGGACTTGAATGTCTGGTGATATCGCTAAGTGTACACACCCGTGTGTGTGTGTGTGCAGCCCTGTGCTCACGCATGAGGCTCTGTCTGCATCCACGCGTGTGGGCGGCGACCTTCTCTGCGTGGGTCGCCGGGCAGCACCCAGCAGCTGCTGTGTACCTCGGGGTCTGGGCGACTGCACCTGCCCAGGGTCCCTAAGTGGGCGCCGTAAGGGCTGTGAGCTGGGGTTCCTTTGCGCCACGTGTCGGCTGCCGCTTCTAATAACCACACGATTAATAGCCGCCATCTCAGCATGGGTGTTGTGACAACCATTCAGACCTTTACCCGTGACCATCCTCCACTCTTGCGTTCTCACGCAGGAAGACCTGGTTTCTAGGCAACAACATAAGCTCAGCGCGGAGTAGGTGGTCTCCTGCTGGGAGGAGAGGCGGCCTCAGATGGGGGCACCTGTCCTGAGACCCGGGACCACGCCTTCCCTGGGGACCTGTTGGACAGCGTTACCCTCCCCTCAGCGCCCTTCCGTCTCCGGCCCGTGGACGCTCACCCAGCGACCTGCCGGCACAGACGTGTATGCACATCCACCCCACGGCAAACCAGCCCCGTTCCCTAGCATCCTGAGCATCTGTTCACCTTCAACGTGATCCTTCCGTGCGGAAGCCCAAGTTAGACCAAAGTTGGGCGGAAGCGCTCCATCTCACGAGGACCACCTTCTCGTTCTGTCTCTGGGTATCCACTGGTGTTGGTCCCCGGTGCTGAGTTCCGAGGCATCTCCCTCTGAACGGCCCTCAACCTGCGGGGCTGAATCCACGGGACACGCGAGGCCCCTGACGGCACAGCCTTCACCACGTGGTCCTTCCCCGGAAGGCCGCTGCGAGGGGCTCCCCTGCCCACCTCGCTCCTGAGAAGGGGGCACGCGGCCGTTTCAGGCAGAGCCCCTGGACGCAGGGAGGTGCGCGGCGGCCTCCTGCGGCTGCGCGTCCGGTCCCCGCCCGACCAGAGAGGCCGCGGGCGCCGCGCGAGGGCAGGCGGCGCTCGGGAGAGGCGTCCCGGCTGCGGCTCCTGGGCCGCGCCCCACATGGCTCTGAGTCTCGGTTTCCTCAGCCAGAAAACGAAGCGCTTTGCAAGGCGTGCAGGTGCGCTCGGGACTGTCTTCCGTGGCCGTTATTTTTCTGGTTCTGACTCTCCTCGTCTCTGAGGGCTGGCTACTTTCACCCTGATAATCTGAGTGTATCAGCGTGTTTCCAGAGGGCGAGCAAGGAGACTGGGCGGCAGGCTCTGAGCATCAGCCTTTCTCTCTCCACTCAAAGCGGCTCAGGAAACCCCTGCCTGGTCTTTGGATGGTGCCTGATGGAGGCTTGGAGGCAATGAGAGCATCTAAAGACGGCGGGGCAGGGGGAGGCCACGACTGAGAAAGAGGAACAGGGTGAGCCGGCAAACCCAGGGCAGAGGTGCTCAGACGTCCCTGTCCCGTGAGTATGTGTGTTTGTGTGAGTGTGTCTGTGTGTCTGTGTGTGTGTATGACTGTGCTTTCTCAAGAAAGCATGGCTTCGGTTTCCTGTGCCGTGACTTCAGGCCCGGACCCCGCTGCCCACAGCCCCCGCCCCGTGCTGAGACGGGGCGCCTGGGCAGCTGCCTGGGCTCAACTGTGGGGCCCACAGACGGGCGCACCCATCACAGACGAGGCCAGAATCTGCTCCGACACGTTCACTCCTTTGTCTCGACTCTTACTCACTCAACAGTGAGTCCAGCCGTGGGAGGCGTCCTCCTCGCGTGTCATCTTTAAGCCGCAGAGTTAATTTTCTAACCCGCAACGTTGCTGTGCGGTCTGCCATCGCCCCAGCGGGACAAGACGCTTGGGGCCGCAGCTCTAGGTCAGGGACCCCCAACAGTGTCTGGGGCTGTGGGAGCCACCCTGTGCAGCCCTGTCATTAGCAGAGGCCTCAGGCCACCACTGCCCTCCCTGGAAGGGTGGGGGACGCCCTCTGGGAAACTGCTGGACCCCAGGTTCTTCTGATGAGGCCCGCACACCCAGCAGCCAAAGAAAGGCCGTCCAAGGGATCGCTGTCCTGGACAATCAAGACCTCAGTCTGGACCAGCCTCCGAGAGGCTGTGCAACCGCACGCCTGCCGAGGGGGGCACAGAGGTCCTTGCACGGCTGTGCAACCGCACGCCTGCCGAGGGGGACACAGAGGTCCTTGCACGGCTGTGCAACGGCACGCCTGCCGAGGGGGGCACAGAGGTCCTTGCACGGCTGTGCAACCGCACGCCTGCCGAGGGGGGCACAAAGGTCCTTGCACGGCTGTGCAACCTCACGCCTGCCGAGGGGGGCACAGAGGTCCTTGCACGGCTGTGCAACCTCACGCCTGCCGAGGGGGGCACAGAGGTCCTTGCACGGCTGTGCAACGGCACACCTGCCGAGGGGGGCACAGAGGTCCTTGCACGGCTGTGCAACCTCACGCCTGCCGAGGCGGGCACAGAGGTCCTTGCACGGGTGTGCAACCTCACGCCTGCCGAGGGGGGGCACAGAGGTCCTTGCATGCCAGCAGGTCCCTAAGTAGGACATGCCGCTGAAGAGGAAGTGCTGAGAGGTGAGGGGCCCACCCAAGGTAACTGGAGTGTGGGAGGCAATTCCCTGGGATAACGGTAACCTTAGGGTTTTGCCCAGATGATGGCAGAGCCAGGCGGCATCGTCCTGCTCCGTCCTGACCTGTGCCCATAGCTCGGCTCACCTGGTCCCTCACAGCTGCCTGGGGTGGAGACACTGACCTGACCCAAGGCTCAGCTGTGGAGCAACTCACTGCATTCCGGGCCTTCCTGCTTCCTCCCCGGCATGGTCGAGAGGAGTTCACCTCAACGGGCTTGGCTTGACTTCCTGACTCTCTGCAAACAAATTTCCACCCCTAATGGAGACGTGTGCATCTCATTGTTTTAATAATTTACCCCTGAGATGATTTATGGCTGGCATGTTAATTATGAACATGCACATTACCATTTTTATAGCCCATTTGGACATGGATCAGCAGAGAAGGAACTGTTACCCCAGCGTTTCCATTTATCACTTGTGTTCGGTCCTGCGTATTCATGAAAACAGAAGCTGTATTCCAAACAGCAAGGATGAACCCACCATTGTGCCAGGCCCCTTTGACTTCATCAGACACACAGGATTTCAACTTTTCTTTTTAAGACCATGTCTGGCTGACAACCCTGGACAGAGGCTTGTCAAGCGCAGGTCCTGGGGTCTACCTGTGTCATCTAGACTTTGGGTGAAGTGAGCTGGGAACTCAGAGCTGAGGGCCAAACAGGTCAGGTGCGCGGAGGCCGGTGCCAACGTGTTAGGGGAGAGTCTGGGGCTTCCGAGAGACTTAGAGGCTGCGGCCCTGCGATGGCCTTAACGTCTAGTCCTTCTCTTGGGGCAGGACTTTGCACTAAACCAGAGCACCTGCTCCAACCTGATGCTTGTTATCCAAGAGAAGGAAACCCAGAGAGGACCCGGGCCCCGGCTGGTCCAGAGGAGCTGGCGACGGGGCAGGACTCCCTGGGGGCAAGAGCAGGAAGTAGCCTCGAGGGGGCATGGGGGCGGCGGGACCAGCCCCGGCCTGAGCGGGGCGCCCGATGGCCAGCCCACTCCGTCCTCCCTCCCCACCATCCCCCGGTTCCCCCATCTGGTTTACCTGGGACTTCGGGGGGAAATTAAGGGATTGCAATCTAAGGTCCCAGGACACACAGTTTCTTCTTGAAGCCCATCTCCCTCCCCCAGGGTCTTCCTTCTGGCGGGTTGTGGGTACACTTCCCTGCTGCCCAGGAGGCTGCTGGGCTCTCGGTGGAGTGGGAGTCGGACCTCAGGCTTCTCAGGGCCTTGCTTGGCCATGGTCGGGGTCCCCAGGCACCCCACGGGTGCAGTTTGGAAGGCTGAACCAAAGCGCTAACAGCAGCTAAAAGCGTGGACTTTTAACCCAATCCTTCACCTTTAAAGCAGCTGGCTTCTCTGCCCCCAGCCCTCCTTCCGGAGGCCAGGGCCTAAGAGGAAAAGTTGGAACAACACTGTGAACATCCTTCCTCTTCTCTGAGTCACAAAAGATGCCTCCAGACTGGCTGCAAGCTGTGTGCCAGCCTCAGCCCACTCTGGCCCTGGGAGGCTGGGCCTGCTGGCCAGAGTCAGCTCCTGCCTGGTCCTCGTGGGTGTCCTGCCTGGGCCTGGGAACACTCTTTCCTGCGGGTCCCTAGACCCTGGGCTCAAGAACGTCCAGCCTGAAGCTCCTTACATCACTGAGAACAGGTTAATGGGAGCTGCCCTCCATGCGGTCTCCCCAGTTTCCTCTAGAATGTCAAGATGTCCACACCTGACTCCTTGAAGTACTTCAAGTACCACTGTCCCCAAACCACGAGTACTGCAGAAATGAACTGAAAAATTCACCTTTCAGTTTAGTCCAACCTATCCTGTCATTAAGGCAGCATGTGGCCGCGACAGGCATCACAGCAACCCAGCAAAAACAACCATTTCACACGGTTCCCCACGATGGTTTTCCTGATACCTCAGGCGGCATCCTCGATGGGCCTCACCTCTCTCACCTGAAAAGGGAGAAGGCGCTGATCCGACCTGTCTGTTCAGGGCGCTGCCTCCGCTGTAAGAAGGTCACACACAAACTGGGAGGCACGCAGGCCGGGGTGGGCATGTGCGGGCAGAAGACAAGCATCCATGTGAGATGGATGGGGGGAGGGCATCACCTCTCCCGGGACTTCTGAGGCCGGACCGGCCCTGTGTGGCCTCAGAGGCTGGCTCTGAGCTTTGTAACAGAACGCTCTGACTGCAGGAACCTATGAGAAAGCACATGCAGGTGAGTATGATGGAAGTGAAACATGCCTTAGTGATCACAGCTACTGGAAAGCGGGGTGCTCTCTGGAGGGAGCAGGGTCCCCTCTTCCAGGGCCTTTGCACACACCACGTGACTGTGCGGAGGAGATTTGAACTTCAGCGGGGCTGGGACTCCAGGACCCTTTGCGGGGGCCCAGTGGCGGCCACACAGGCCAGGCAGTCAGAGCACAGGTGCGGGGTTCTCCCCACTGGGGTAGCCACGCAACAGCCCCCCTGAGGTTGTGCGGCGTGAGCGCCTGGACCTGAGCCGCCTCTCAGCCTCAAGACACTCTGATGTCACTACTACATCAGCGAAGGTCTCTCAGCTTCTTTACAGCCTCCAGTTCTGTGAATCCTCCAAAAGGCTGTTGCTGCCAAAAAGTTCTGCCGGTTCATGCTAATGTTCGTTAAAGCAGTGCTTGTTGATAGGTCTG